CGCACACACACACACACACACACACACACACACACACACACACACACACACACACACACACACACACACACACACACACACACACACACACACACACACACACACACACCTTTCTACAGAGAGCACCCCTCATTCACACACTGACGGCTCTGAGATGCTGAACGAGCAGACTGTGTGCTATCTACACGTTACTCTCAGGATCACAGAGCTGAAGCCAGGTGCTAGTGGACTGCTCTCGGCTGACAGCCACTGATGTGTCAATAACATGATCAGATTAGTGATCGATAACCGAGCGCGAGGAGCTTACCTGCTGGGTTCGTCTTCGGCTCGGGTAATGATTATGAGGAAGAAGAGGAGGAGGAGGAGGATGATGATGGTCTCTCTTTACGCAGATCTCCTTTACTCATAAAACGTCACGTCAAGCGATTTCCATCCGAGACGAAGCGTTTCGATCTCCAACGTTTAACGCGTTAAATCACCGGTTGATCCGACTCGCCTGACCATTGATCACTGCTGCGCTGGCAGACAGCGGCATTCTGGGACATCCGCGCTGCGTCACGCCTGCGTCATCGGCGTACGTCGTGCGTCATGACGCCAGCGTCTGTGCGGAAGCAGAAAAAAATCAAATAAAAAAAATTACAAAATGAAAAATAATAATAATTTTTTTTCCCATTATTATTTTTCATTATTTATTTTTACCTGTATTATTATTTATATAATGCTGTATATTTTCTATTTCTTTTTTTGTAGTTTATGTTTGTTCAGTACCTTTATATTATATGTTGGAAATAAAAAAAAAAAGTCTGAAAAAATAAAATAAATAAAATAAAATAAAAGAGAGCGAGAGAAGCGGAGCAGCGAATCAGAATCGCTGGTAAAAACAAACATAAAATGTTTATTTAAAAAAAAAATCACAATTATTATATGTATTGCGTTTTCCCTTCGCCTTACTTAGCGCTATAACAGCCCGGCTTATTAACAGGCAAGAAAATACTGGCAATCTTTAATGTAATAACCAGCAGGGGTCAGGGATGTGCTGTTGTGGGTCATTTGATCTCTACTCACACTTTTGATCCGCTTCATTGCATAAAAACTCTGAAGTCACTGGTGATGTGGAAAAATTGAATTGATTTACATTTATTAATTTAGCAGATGCTTTAATCTACAGCATACATTTACATTTAGTCATTTAGCAGACGCTTTTATCCAAAGCGACTTACAATTGGGGGATACATAAAGCGATTCTTCTTAAGAGAGGCAAACAGACACAAGAAGTGGTTGTAATACCAAGTTCTTAGACATTGTTCAAATAAGTACACGCTAGAAAGAGAAGGAATAAATAAAGAGAGATACTTTTTTTTTAAATTTAAAAAAAAAAAATTTATGATAAAGTCAAGTAGCTTCGAAAGAGATGAGTTTTCAGCTGTCGCTTGAAAATGGTCAGGGATTCAGCATTCCGGATAGGGGTGGGAAGATCGTTCCAGCAGCCAGGAATGGTGAACGAGAATGTTCTGGAAAGTGATTTTGAGCCTCTCTGTGATGGTACCACGAGGCGTCGCTCACTAGCGGATCTCAGACTTCTGGAGGGGATGTAAATTCGTAGTAGTGAGTGGAAGTAGGCGGGTACTGAGCCTGTGGCTGTTCTATATGCAAGCATCAATGTCTGGAACTTGATTCGGGCCGCAACCGGTAGCCAGTGCAAGGAGATGAAGAGAGGTGTAACATGGGCTCTTTTGGGCTCGTTGAAGACCAGTCGTGCCGCTGCATTCTGAATCATTTGTAGAGGTTTGATTGTGCTTGATGGGAGTCCAGCCAGAAGAGCATTGCAGTAGTCCAGCCTAGAGATGACAAGGGCCTGGACAAGAAGTTGTGCAGCATGCTCCGTTAGAAAGGGCCTGATCTTTCTGATGTTGTGCAATGCAAACCTGCAAGATCGAGCGGTCTTTGCAATGTGGTCTTTGAAGGTCAGCTGGTTATCAAAAGTTACACCAAGATTTCTGACCGAAGTTGATGGGGTAATTGTAGAAGAACCTAGCTGGATGGAAAAATCATACTGTAGAGTTGGAGTGGCAGGGAAGACAAGAAGCTCAGTCTTTGCCAGGTTGAGCTGTAAGTGATATTCTTTCATCCATGCCGAGATGTCCGCCAGGCAGCTTGAGATCCGTGCAGCTACCGTTGGATCATCTGGTTGAAATGAAAGATAGAGCTGTGTGTCATCAGCATAGCAATGGTAGGAGAAGCCATGTGCCTGTATGATGGGACCCAGTGATGTTGTGTATATGGAGAAGAGGAGGGGTCCAAGAACTGATCCCTGAGGAACCCCAGTGACAAGTTGATGTGCTTTGGATACCTCCCCTCCCCAAGACACCCTGAAAGACCTACCAGTGAGATAGGATTCAAACCAGCGAAGAGGAATCCCTGTGATGCCCATTGAAGAGAGGGCAGACAGGAGGATCTGATGATTGACAGTGTCAAAAGCAGCAGAAAGATCCAGCAGAATAAGGCTGGATACAACAGGAATACAACAAAGTGATTCCCCCTAAATACAGTGTACAGTGCTAGAGAAGACACATGACATCATTAAATTATCTTGTGTCTTTGCAAATCATATATTGTGTTTGTTAATGCATATGTTTTAATCAAAGAATTGTTTAAAACAAGACATGGTTTGTCTTATTATCCGATTAAACGTTGCAGCATGGTTACAGAAAGACTCCTGCGATTTAAAAGTTAATGAAATGTTAGGTGAATGCTTTCTGGACCATCATGCACGATGTATTTAAAAAAAAAAAAACATTCCCAGAATGATCCCATTAAAAAATAAAAATCATTCAAACATTCAGTTATACAAGAAGATTATACATAAGATAAATCACATTTTACAACATAAATACAATAAACAGCACCGCAGTGGTTCATATTAAATAATATACCCCACGTCAACAAACATTAATAAATTCAGAAATGCTTATCAACCAATCTGTAGTTGTACAGTTGAACCCAACGCAGAGATTCAGACTCTCCATCTGGCCACACCTTAAATGTTTCTCAACCCTGGTCCTGGGCGCCCCCCAGCACTGCACATTTTGTATGTCTCCCTAATCTGACGCACCCATTTCAGGTCCTGGAGTTTCTTTTAATGAGCTAATGAGTTGAATCAGGTGTGTTTGATTAGGGAGACACAAAATGTGCAGTGTTGGGGGGCACCCAGGACACTGTATTAAGGGGTGAGAATTGACGTGAATCTGGTCGGAAACCGAATGCTGTGCTTAATTTTTTAATCTTTACTTTTGTAAACCTACATGAGTTGGTTATATTGCATCATGGGATTAATACGCATGCATATTAAATCACTTATTCACAAAAAACTTGAAAACATAAAATTTAGGATTTTGTTAAGGATATTAAGTTTTGTGTTTTTTCACCTACTTTGTAATTTTGTCGCCTACCTCTATATTTCATGCCATTTCTAGTATTTTTAAGGCAATAAATGGCTAGAGAATTTCAAGTGCACAATAACCATTATAACTGAACATTCAACTATATATTAACTGAGACAAGTTTAGATATGGGAGATTTGAAATGAAGGACATTAAGGTGTGTTTTTCATACAGGCACAGAGATGTCAGGTTGTTATGAAATAAGAAACGTTTTGAATGATGTTAACACTAGAGGTCGCCATGTAGCTTTACGGTGCTTTGCTACTGAGGTGGACTATGCGACCTCCAGTCTGCACTTCCATTGGTTGCCACCACATGTCGTCTCTGTCATTTTCATGAGCAGCTAAACGGATCAGTTCTAAGCAATGCTAGCGGTCAAGCTCAAAGTATACTTCGGCCGTCCGCATTCCGTTAATGTAACGTCAACTGCTTCCAGACACTATTAAATCAACATTAGGCATTTTCCACTGCAGAAACTTTTCCAGGGTCCTTGAAGTATGCTTCACGAAGCTTTACCAGCACATGAAACTGTAGCCTGGACCTGTTTTTAAATGACCAGTCAGTAGGCTTAGTGAAAACATGCTGAGCTGCTGCTTTCAGTCTGAGTAGCTGAAATGGATAGTTAAATATGTAGTTGAACCATCTGCCTAATATTGTGTAGATCCCCTTTGTGCTGCCAAAACAGCTCTGCTGTGTCAAGGCATGGACCCCACAAGACCTCTGTGGTATCTGACTGGAACCAAGACAAAGTAACATGTCAAAATGGCATCCACATGAATGCCAGGTCTCAAGGTTTCCCAGCAGAACACTGCCTCTGCCAGCCTGCCTTCCTCCCATAGTTCATCCTGCTGCCATCTCTTCCCCAGGCAAAGGACACACACTGATCTAAAAGAAAACATGATTCATTAGACCAAACTTCTTCCACTGCTCCATGGTCCAGCTGTGAACTTTCTATCATGGCCAGCATAAAGCTTTCAAAAATTTGAACTACAGTAGTTCTTCTGTGTGATCAAGTGAGACTTGGGCGCCCATGACCCTGATGCCAATTTACTGGTTGTCCTTCCTTGCACCACTTTTGGTAGGTGCAAACACTATTGCATACCGGGAACACCCAACAAGAATTGCTGTTTCGGAGATTGTCTAGCCATCACTATTTAGCTCTTATCAAAGTCACTCCGTATTTCCTGCTTCCAACACAGTGATGCAATGCAAAGTCACCTGACCTGCCAATGAAAATGGAGTCATTCCAAGTTTCCGACTCTAGCATGCATGCTATCCCCATAGCATCAGCTCTTGACGCATACAGCGCTGAAGTTTCCTTGAAGGGGAGCTCAAGAACTTCATACTGAAAAATAACAAGAGCTTGCAAATAGGGCAACATTCGGATACAATTATAAGGATATGAACTGATAATGTATTATTTCCCCAAGCAACATCACTTGGCAACACTGCTCAAAAAAGTCATGCATCATCGCCCTATAGGTTCCTATAGGTTGCTTCTATGCATACATTGAGTGTGTGTTACGGTGGAGTTTATGGCAGGGGCGTAGCCAGGGCCGGATTTACGCATAGGCATTCTAGGCAAGTGCCTTTGTTCGCTCGTCCAGGGGATGCCCAAACACAATGAAGAGATATATAATATTTTTGTTATACTATGGGCTATCTGCAACAGTAAAAGAACCAAAACCCCAGAAGACATTGAGCAAATAAATATAAAAAACAATAGTGTAAAAATGACAAACTATTTCCATGTCTTCAACCTTTATGTACAGAAAACACGCTTTCCTTCTCCCGTTCTCTCCCACAGACGCACACAGTTACTCGCGCACACACGTGGAGACGCGGACAGAAACTTCTTGTCAACATCCCGTGAATTTATCAATAAAATAGTTTCGCAGCTGAAAAGCAACATGACATTTTTCAGTAGCAAGGTTCTTGAAGCAGTTCAACTTAAAGATTTGCTATTAAAGGGGTCATATGATGTTGCTAAAAAGAACATTATTTTGTGTATTTGGTGTAATGAAATGTGTTTATGCGGTTTAAGGTTAAAAAAACACATTATTTTCCACATACTGTACATTATTGTTTCTCCTCTATGCCCCGCCTTTCTGAAACACGACGATTTT